TTTCAATATACTTATAATACAATCACATTTTTATTTTCCAAGCCCTTTAATTGTTATCTGTTTTTATTGGTAATAGGTAGACGCTTGGCCGCCGTCTTGCCTGATGAGAAGCGTCGATGCAACTTACTGAGGGCCAAAAATCATCAAATTCCTAATCCCAAAAGGCCGGCAACGCACTTGTAACGCCTCTGGTATTTCTGGTGTCTATGGGCGACGCCAATCATGTGATCCAGCTGCTCGTTTACCGGCTTATCTCATTAAAAAAGGTATTCTTTGTAACTAATTCAGGAAGAAAAATTACGTCTATTCATCAAGAATATTGATCGCGTCCATGCTATACGTCTAAGCCAGCGCGCAACATTTTAGTAGATATTTATTTTAAACTAATACGCTTTAATATCTTTTCGGACCTGCATAGAACAATTACACTTTTAATCTTGTCTAAAGAATCACTTGAAAACTAGATACCCACATGAAATCCATTCAGATTTTTTTCCCTGGCAGGCGTATGGCACAGACATGCATGATAGTCGTCTTTGTTTACCTAAGGTCAAATATCTCCTTCAATCTTTTATAACTACAAGATTTCAAAAAACAATATTAGTTGTATCTTTTAAAAAAACCCTGGAGGAATAAATAAAATAAATAAACGAATGATCCTATTGTCATGTACGGCGCAAAATCGAAAACCTTATACTTATCATTTTGCCCGAAAATTCATCCGATCTATAAGGCAGATTTAGACTAATTACTATTCACGCAAAAACGAAACACATTTCACCAAGAATTTCAACTCATTATTTCAGTTACACAGGTACACCAGTTTTATAAAGTACGTGCGTATTTAATTCCCTCAAATTGGTCACACTTAGCGCCTCTGAATGGCCATGATCCTAGCTAAATTGACCGCCGACGCTAAAATTCTACAATTAATTGTTTCCAAAATAGCATTTTTTATTGCCAACACTTTTTAGATAAATTCTAACCATTTAAGTTGCGAAAACACGTAAGTGGTGATACAACAAAAACATTTTCTATTTTGCAACACTCAATCTGTTTGTTACGTTTTTTTTTATTTGACACTTCGTTCGAAATTCAAAAGTGTTGAGACTGGCCATTTTGTTTTTATTATGTAGGAACATTATTTTGTTGCCATTTAATTTTTACATTAAATGCTTTTACATAAAAACTGTATGCTACTTTTTGTACCGACTCAAGAATATAATTTGACAATATCTATGATAAGTGGTGTGAATAATTAAATGTTAAATATACGGAACAAATGTCACTAACAACTAAATTGAAATTGAATAAAGATTTTTTTAAAGAACTCTAAGTACCGAGGAATTAATTTTATTGTGTCATAAAATGCTACATTATATTTCAAAGTTACGGATCATGTTTACAAATACCATTTCTATCTATAAAACACTTTATATTACATTAAAAAAATTACGCAAACACACGCCTTAGATTTGATTTCTTTATGGTGAAATTGTAAAATTGACTTTAAAAACATTGACTGAAAACATAGACTATTTATGTAAGTACTGAAATTTTAAAACACTACCCTTTCTATATGCACAAAATCAGAAGCACCGAAAAAATTAGTAAAAAAATTCTTTTATGGCATAAGCCGGTAAAGGAGCTGGTGGATCACCTGATGGCAAGCATTCAGCGTCGCCCATGGACACCCGGAACACCAGAGGCGCAAATTTTCACATACTATATCTATTTTATCAAAAATATATTAACCTTTTGTGTGTCTAAACGCGGATCCACGCGGGACACAATGTACTTTCTATTGTGCCTCATATACGGGCATTCAAGTGGTTAAGAGCTGAATGAAGACCAGCAGCTGTATCCAAATGCCATTTAGCGCTTGTCTACATGTAGAATAGAAAACCAAATTATATGGAATTGACGTAAATTTTGACACTTGTCAGTGTCATCCGCATACATTTTGATTTCTACTCTCTCTGTAGACAAGCGCTAAAGTGGCGTATGGCTAAAGGCACTGGAAACCTAACTTTTTAATTCACTTGGACGCAAAGAAAGGCAGCCACTAGTATTTTTTCTTTTTCATTTCTTGATAAATATTATCTGATACAACTATTTTATTTTAAGTGTGGGAGAGCCTTGGCTTCGGCACGAATGGGCCGGATCGACCGGAGTGATACCACGGCCTCACAGAAAACCGATGTGAAGCAACGCTTGCGTTGTGTTTCGTCGTCTGAGTGAGGTTGCCGGAGGCCCAATTACCCTCACACAATCTCCCCAATCCCTGAATCCCCATCGATCCTCAAACTCCTAATCCCCAAAAAGCCGGTAACGCACTTGTAACGCCTCTGGTGTTCCAGGTGTCCATGGGCGACGCCGGTTGCTTACCATTAGGTGATCTGTCTGCTAGTTTACCGGATTATACTATAAAAAAAAATATTGGTAACGTATGTCGTATAAAAGGCAATTTTAAAATTATTAACTATTTATATACAATGTAATGTTTAAAATGAGAACGTTTTATTGTAAAAGTAATATTTTTTTAATTATAAAGGTTTCACTAAAATGAAAAAAATATACCCACCAAGTGTAAAAACATATAAACATACTTAACTTCACGTTTATCTCTCATAATAGTAAGCGGAAACTACGGAACGTCAATTGCTACGATTCTTACACACCTCTTTCGCTTCATCAACAATCATCAGTCCTTTCATTCATGCTCATCGATTACGGTTACTTTTAATTTGGCCCTTCTTTAATATATCGTCAATCTGGTCAGTATTGGTCCGTCTAGAGCGTCCTCTACCGATGGCTCCAAACGACGCCCCAAGTGTATAAAAACGAAAAGAAATCTAAAAACCTAAAAACCTGTACAGTATTTATTACTTCGCACCTAAAGTACACAAGAAGTAGGCATTCAATAAACAAGGTAATACCTATAGCTCAGAGACCCATCCAACCCTAAGCCGCCGGCTTGTTACGGCTTAACTCAACGATGTAACATCCAACCCTCGCGTTACCCTCACTTCACAGTACAGGCACTCAGATTGTGAATTTATTCTTACGTGTAAAGTAAAAAAAAAACCTAGAAAGGTTTTTGTTTCATAACATAACATCACGCCTTTTATCCGCGAAGGGGTAGGCAGATGTGCATATTACGGCACTTAATGCCACTGTACAATGTAACAACACCCACTTTTCACTATTTATGTTATGAGTCCCATGTAATAGGAGGTGGGCCAATTGCCATATATGTATAACAAACAATTAAATATTAATAATGTCGGTTTGTTGGTCGTTTAGTTAGTTTTTCTATACTACGGACAGTAGCAACAAAGCCTACGGATCGTTTTATGTTATTCGCCATAAGTTACCTACTTGCGTCGTATTAAATTATGTTTTTTTTTAACAGATTTCAAAAAAAAGGGTCTCAGTAAATAAATGAATGAATCTGAATCTGAATCTGAATCAGTTTAACCTGTATATTGTATGTATGTATGTTTGTGCTGGATTATCACGCGATGGACTAAACTGATTGTGATGCTGTTATTAGAAAAAAGTTTGTAACACTTAAGAAAAGGTTTTAGTATATTAATTGACCGATGTCAAAAAAGAGAGGCTTGAAGTCAGTTTTTAGTGATATAACACAAAAAGAAGATAAGGGACAGACTCATCTAAATTCTGTATCTACCTTAAACTTATACGTGAATTTCAAAAATATCTTTTAAAAGCTACTTCCGCGCGGTTTCACTCGTTCTCACTCGGCGCCTATTAATCGTAGCGTGATATTTTATAGCCTATAACCTTCCTCGATAAATGAGCTATCGAACACAGAAAGAATTCTTCAAATTGGACTAGTAGTTTCGAAGATTAGCGCGTTCAAACAAACAAAAAAGAAACTCTTCAGCTTTATAATATTAGTATAGATTTGTTTATATCGGGTAATAAAAGCTATTATGCCTTGTTTGCACTATGCTAGTAATTTAGCCGAGTTGCGAATATTTAGGCGTTCTCTCTCACTTCCATTTTGGGACAGAAGCCAGAGAGGACTACTGAATATTCGCTACTTGACTAAAATACTAACGTAGTGTAAACAAGGCATGAGTGCTGATTAGTTCTTTGGTTGCTTAAAAAGGCCCACATGCTGTCAGAATTGTGTAATGCCTACATAGACCTTCCCTCAACATCCTATAAATGCCCACTGCTGATCAAAGGCCTCTCCTCACATGGAAAAGGTTTGAGCATTAATCACTACGCTTGCTTAATGCGGGTTGGCGATTTTCAACTTATAATTAGAAACATAGACCATATTTACACAGATTATCTTAAAAAGTTTAAATATCGATTACGCAACAATAAGCCGTTATTTGATTGTATCATAAGAATCGTGATTGGTTGCTTTATCTTCGGCGCAACCAATCAAATTCTTCGATTTGTGATGCTGATTAGTAAAGAGAATTACTTAGTAATTAGAATCGACTTTTTCTAAGAAATTCTACAGCGCAATTTAACCATAGCGATGATATTGTTCTTTCGGCTTTATTTAACTGCACTTAGTACCTACATATCTCCTTTAATACATATTATTCTTTCTTTGTTTTCGTAATATTTGAGTTTAGTGATGTCTATTTTTTATTTATTTTCCATTTATGTGCGAAATAAATGTTTTTTTTTTCTTACACAAAAGGAATTAGGAATATGAAGTCAGGATTATCAAAACTATTTTTTTTCTAACTTAATTACCACTACTACCTACTGCTTTTTTCAATGGAAGACGATTTCAGAACTCAATCCTTACGTAGGTATGTGTCACATTTTTTTATTAATTATCGTTTATCCTGGATTTATTGATGTTTATTACTTAATTAGTCTAGACCAAGTATTTATTTTGTATTTGATTAGATATACCGTAACCTTATTCGAATCTCCCACCCATACATAAAAATGAAACGAAACACTGCGAACTTATCAAAAGCTGATCCAAGTCGATCACTCACCGGAGTCACTGTCATCCCTGTCGTAGTGTGGTCGCCAGTACTGCTCGTCGTACCGCAGCGGTACTTCCGACCGGCCGGTGAACTTCGTGGGGTCCAGGATGTTCTCCACTGAGAACGCTATGGCTGGTCTGTCGGGCGGCCGGGTCAGCCCCAACCGCCTCGTCAGGTCCACAGGCGCGGCCTCCTCCACCCCCACGACATCAACCTCGCCGTTGGCCTCAGTCTCCCCTTCAGCCTCGTCCTCGGCCTTATCCCGACGCTCCTCCGATCCTCGCGCCATCGCAAGCATCGTCATAGCAAGGCCTATTTTAATATAATCTGGACTCGAAACATCTGAACGTTCAACAAAACATTCCAGTTTATTAACACTTCACTGCACACGAGTGTCTGTAAGTCCCTGCGGAATGTCCTCTAAGCAGATTATCTAATGTGCGGTAACAGGTGAATTAGCACTAGCACGGGTGAGCGCGCGGCGTGCGAGCTGCGAGCTAGCGGTGGACACGTTCGTCCCAGCCCAACATCCGATACTCACAACTCGGTGTCAACTGAAACCGGGAGCACAGAAACGGGCGGGCACACGAAAGGAGGGGACGGGCCCAAAGTGGGGGCCAAACGTGGAATCTCGTCACCCGATTGGCGGCGGGAAACGAGGCGTGCCCGGGGTGGAGAAACGTAATCGAGCAATAAGGTTTAAACAATTTCGTTTAATACGTTGAATTATGTAAGAGAGCGGCGGGCAAGTAATCGCGCACAAGCGATAAGGCCATTTGCGCTACTTCGTTACGTATTAATGGGCCAGGAAATTGACTTATGAATATTAGAGGTCGCGGCGAGTTGAAGATCGGGCTAAAGCGGCCCCGGGCGGCCGCGAGCGGTTATTTTCCTAGTTAAGCGCTGAAACAATGATGTTTATTGAGTTTTGAACTTAATGGGTTTGGGCGCGAGCCGCGGGCCATTTGCGCCATTAGCTCAGTTTGTTTAGTCGACAACGTAACGACTTTTCATGAAAACGGTTTCGACGTATTACGTTTCAGTTTCAGCTTTTGTTTTGATGGAAAATATAATTGCAAATAATCCGAGGCCTAAATAAATATGCTTATAACGTAAAAATAAATAGATAATGATAATCTGAGGCGAAATGGAAATTTCACTTACCTGCGACTGTCTAAAGATATTTTAAGTAGTTTTTTAGTAAGCTTGTAATAATTAAGGGCTCAATAACATTAATTTAAAATGTACATTGGTAACAATTATTGATTATTTTGAATGTTTGGTGATAATACTCTTGCCTACAATGAGATTACACTTACCATGAATATTTTTGCTTACGATTTAATCGGAATCTGTGTACCAGAGATAAAATTGTATCTTAATACTTTTATTATTTTAGTAATTTGAGGAATACTTACCTTAGAGATACTTACCAAATGTCTACGTAATTATATGAGCTTAGGTCATCTAGTTCCACCGTAGCGTGCGTAGCAGACTACGAGTGGCGTAGTCGGCTACGCAGGTTTGACTACGAACGCTACGCTTGCTACGATTATAATTTTGACCTATTTTTGTAATATCCTTTACTGTCTTCTTCTCGCTGTCATTGTTTAACGTTACAATTCATATCTAGGTATACCTATAATTGTATTATTCAATATAATAAAGCTAAAGTAAGTAAGTTTGTTTGTTTGAATGTGCCAATCTCCAGAATTACTGGATCGAATTGAATAATTCTTTTTGTGTAAAATATGTACTTAGCTGATTTAATACTCATTTTCTTTTGCCATGTACTATCTTGCCGTGCCCTAACCGGGTTTCATTTCGAAACTAATATATATACTTATGTAACACCTATGTACATACACATGAGTGAATGTAATAAAGAATTTGAATTGGAATATTTAGTTTATTTCTCAAGGAAGGGTATAAAATATCACACTACGATTCATTGGAGTCAAGTAGCGCAACTAGGGGTAGAAACCGCGCGTTAATAGCTATAGAAAGCTAATGTGTGCGTACTAAATTCAGCGTAGCACTCTACGAGTAGCGTAGTCGGCTACGCAAGTTTGACTACGAAGACTACGTACTACAGATTATGATTTTCTCAATTTCATGTCTAATTAAAATAAAATTTGATCTTGACTTTGACTATACTGAGAAAAGCGCTACTAGTTACGAGCCACAGATAGGCTCTTCTTCAAGTTCTTCATGAGCAGCGTGCGCAGTCACGGCGATGTCGCGCAACCCACTGGAACTGAAACTAGTAGAGTTTTTCTCAGTATACTTACGTGAGTAATTTGAGATTTTTAGTTAATTGAGGTACAAATATTTTATAACAAAAACGTTGCTATCCTCACTAATATTATAAATCAGAAAGTGAGTTTGTTTGTTTGTTCCGCTTTCATGCCATAACTTTGAAATTTTGCAGACGTAAAGTTAGAAGTCCGGATTAAATAATAGGGTAGATTTTATCCGGGAAAAATTTGATATTCCCGAGGGAAAACAAAAGAATTGGTATAGATGGTGTATTGGTATATTGGTCGCTGTGTGTATTGGTATATGTCACATAGGCTACTTTTTATCCTTTTGTGACGCGAGCGAACCTGCGGGTAAAAGCTAGTTATTTATATAAATCATCATACTCAATACTCAATACTTTATTGCTTTTCACATGTATTACTTAGGTGGTAAACATAATTAAGACACAATGTGAACCCTGTCGGGCACAACAACATAAGTTTTGGATAGAGCACACTTTCCATGTCATTCGTAGAATTAAAAAAATATATACTTAACCTACAATAAAATTAATATCAAATGGAATACAACATAAAAGTATAATTGAAATTGTAGTATTTAGGAGACGAGTCATTTTTTAAATCTTACATACATACATAACATCACGCTTTTTATCCCCGAAGGGGTAGGCAGAGGTGTACATTACGGCACTTAATGCCACTGTACAATGTAACACCCACTTTTCACTATTTATTTTATAAGTCCCATGTAATAGGGGGTGAGCCTATTGCCATATACCGGGCACAATTCCAGACTCAATGCTACTACTGAGATTTTTTGAAAAAACCCAGTACTATTTTGCCCGACCCGGGAATCGAACCCGAGACCCCTTGCCCGGCAATCGCAATTGCGACCACTCAGCCAACGAGGCAGGCAGTTAAATCTTAAACAATCAAAATTAAATACAATGTCATAATCATAACAAAATAAAAAATCATCAACATACAATAGTCATAGATAAACAGCTACATAATTCCCATATTAGTTCGGTTGCGGGTCGCCAGCGTCGACCGTGCGTCGTCACTATACAATTTTGTTCTATTTTGTATTTACACGACTAATCGCAGTAAAAGATCTAACGTTTAGAGATAGCAATGACATGCACGATCTCAACATTTCGACACGGTTCTCCAATCAAACGAGATCTTTGTACAGGGTGTTTGGACGTCGGAAATTATAAAAATATATAGCTTTTTTAAGGGGGAAAATCATCGAATGACTTCTCACGCCTGGATGAGGCGGGAGGGAGTGTCAGACTCTTACTGACTAAAAACCACCTCGTTCCTACTTCTGCACTTCGAGCCGGAGCCCCGATAACGCGTAAGGTTCAATTATATATAAAAAAAAAACAAAAAAGGAGGAACCCAACTAATATCTTATCTTACTTAATATTATAAATGAGACAGTTTGTGTGTTTGTTTGTATGTTTGTTACTCGCAATCACGTACAAATGGCTAAAGGGATCGGGATGAAATTTAACTCGTCGAGTACCGGTTTTATAGACACAATTAAAGAACAATAGGTCGCGGTCACCGGTGACCGCTTGGTGTTTGACAGTTTAAAACAGGGGTACCGGGTAGATTATGGTTGGGTATAACACATATAAGCTACTTCTTAACTTACGGGAACGCAGGCGACGCGCCGCCAGAAGCTATTTCAAAGTCATCTGGATTAAAACATACTTGTAACTTGTTAAGTGAATGAAATAATAAGCGAAATTGTTTTGCAAGGGATTTCTAGTGTATTGATGGATTTTTTAAAATTTTTTTTGAAGTACAACATGTTTTTTGAAATATTTGTTGTTTACTCACTTTGTAAAGGTAAATGAATAAACTCTTATTGAACCATTTATTAATTTTCACTAATTATTTCGTCCATACTATCTATCATTCAGACAAAAAAATAATCTACGTGGTAATGAGTAGCTACGATAGCCAAACCACAAAAGCAACACACTGTATAAAATGTCGAAATCTCGATAAAAAGTGACAAATTCCATCTCGTCCCGTTTGTATCTGTGGTCGATTGATGGGCTCATTGTGCACACAATTGACCCCCTCTGGCCCACCACTCTTAGACTACCACTACTATAACGCTTTTTTGAATATTTTCTGCTTCTCAGCCCCTGGAAGCAACGCGGCTGGAAGCAACGCGTTGACGTTTTATTCTTGTTTGACAGCTAGGTATTTGATGAACGAATTGATTCAGTTGGTTTACGAATTTTTAAAATAGTTTATGATTGAGGAGTGGCGCAAATATATCCTTACTAATATTATAAATCGGAAAGTACGTTTGTTTGTTTGTTTGTTTGTTCAACTTTCACGGCGTAACTACTAAACCGATTGCTTTGAATTTTTGCAGACGTGAAGTTAGAAGTCTGGATCCCAGAAAAATTTGATATTCTCGAGGGAAAACGAAATTATTGGTATAGATGGCGCTGTGTGTATTGGTATATGTCACATAGGCTACTTTTTATCCTTTTGTGACGCGAGCGAAGCCGCGGGTAAAAGCTAGTATATATATATTGTAAGCACTGTGAGTGTGTATGTCATTGGATCGTTCATTTAATATATTATCTACGTATCTTACTTACCTATAGGGCATCCTAGTTATGGATTGATATCTGACGATACAGTAGGTTAAGTTAGAGTTTGATTGTGTGCCTAAATAAAAACTCCTTAAAAGAAAACAATGACAACCTCGCACTTATTTTTTAGGTAAGTACATTAACGACAGAAATTTGACTGCACCACTAGCACAGTGGTTGGGCAAGCGACAAGTGTACATCGCATCGCAGCTTCATTTCTAATTAAGTACAGCGTAGAATCTGAAAATAATTGTATTAGTGTTTAATCCAGAAACTAACGGAACTAAACATTATTTTATTAACAAACTACACATACACGCACACAAGCATACGTATCCGAGTCATCCAAGTAATAAAACAAAAAACACAGTGTGACCAGTTGGAAAACGTTCAAACACTCAACGGTCGCTACCATAGACAACACTTCTATCTATTTGACTTGTGCGCAGCTGGAGTACATTGTGTATTGACACCGTGTCGGAATGTGCCGCGTTGTAAACTCCACGGGAGAGTACTATTCCACTAATGGACGAGTAAAAATCATTAATTGTATTTATTATTGCACTCTTTGTTGAAAAAGACGGCGTAATGTATCTTGATAACATCGTAATGAAGTATATTATGAATTGTTTGATAAATTAGGAGAA